AGATCTTTAGCCTTTCAATACAGAGGCATAATGATTTCAATTTCCCGCTGTGTGGCTCTTAAATCTTTTTTTTTTTAACTTAAAGAGGACCTATCATGCAAAATGCACTTTGTGATGTCTTTTATACATACATATGTGTCCCCGGTGTGTCGGGGAACTCACGCAGCGTCAGAAAATAAAACCCTCTCTCTTTCCCTCCGTACCCACATTTTTAAAAACGGGTGTACAACGAGCGGATACAGATTTGCATCCGCTGTGACGTTTTCCATCCGCTGTGATGTCGGCGGACCCACAGAAAGTTGCTATCAGAAACAATGCCTGACGTGTTTTGGACGTAATCTCGTCTTTGTTTACATTAAAAAGCATTTGAGCTCCATACTATTTCAGAAATAATCCTTGACGTGGTTTAAACAGGATGGCGTTTTATCGCAACCAAATTTAACTTTATCTCCGGTAGAATTCTGATCAGGCATTAGCTCCGCCTCCTCTTCTTTCTTTTTTTTTCAAGCTAAGGGCCCAAGATCTGCGTTTCTCTAACAGGGCTGCAAAAGAGGGGTTTGAGGCATGGCTACAACTGGTGATCTGTTTGGTATTTTGAAAAAAAAAACTTCACAGACATGTTTTATATAGGTATGGCCCTACAATATATTTTTCAAATATAGCATGATAGGTCCACTTTAAGTCTGACTCAATCCTCCAGGCTCAAATCTGCAATTCTGGCACTGAACCACATCTGTAACATTTTTCCTGCTTCACCTATTACATCTCTCCAGTTATCTGACCCACATTCACCTGCAACACACTGACAGACATTCCCATCCCCCTATGGGTTTTCAACAATCTATAAGAGTTATTTTGTCTTCACAGCTGTGATCTACAACCAACATACACATTTACGTTAATGCTGGTCGCTTGCACATACTCTAAGGACTTGCCATAGCACAGACAGACCCTAGTGCAGGTTTACATCATAAACATCCATAGTGGTCACATTTTTAATTTGCCGTCTTCCTCCTCTGGGCAGCAGGTTAGCGTCGAGGTAAAAGCAGGCTACCAACAATCCCAAGGAGGGAGGGTTAATCCATCTTAATCCGAGTAACCTGAGTAAATTACAAAATGTTAAACAAACTCATGTTGAGATTACTTATGTTGAGATTATCTTCCATTATTCCTTCCTGTTTGCTTGTTATGCGAGATTCAGATAGAGGGATTACGCAGCAATCCCAGGACGGGATAATACTGCTGTTTTCTCCGACTGATGGGTTTATTGTATTTCAGATGGACTCGTAGGTTCAGTGATCCCATTGGGCCGCATTGGTCCACCATGATACTTATGTTAAGCGCTGCTGGCATTATACTATAACAGGTGTGTTTTGTCATAATGTGGTCTCAGAGGCGGATTCAGTAGCTTTGTCTGTCCGTCCCCGAGGGACAGTAGTAGCCGATGTATTCCCCTGTGTGGCCCTCAGGCTGTGTTTCATCATATTTAGCTGTATTTGCTTTGGTTTTTATCCACAATAGACCGTCACTAAAATGGCTGCTGTGGACCTCACACTCGTAATACAGATGTTTCTACGATTAAACCCTCGACAGGATTTAGGGCATAAGTAATGCGGAGGGGTCTAAGATGAAGAAGGGCAACAACAACAAAAAAAGCGCAAAGCATTCATGAGAAATGTGCAACACAAGCACACAGACATGAGCATCTGTTAGTCCTTATGCAGATTACAACAGAGGGCTGAATTTTGCTGACTGGGAGGGGGGGGGGGGGGGGGACAGCCTGTCTAGAGTCATAGCACATCACCACGAGTGGAGCGGGTCAAATCTGGAGCTCCCATTTATCTGGAGAGCAACCTTCATTACCAGGGAACTCACTCAATGAGAAGTGTGAAGAATAGGAGAAATGAATTGACACCTGCACACAGCTTGTGAGGCGAAGAGTGACTTTGATCAAAGGATCAGATCTTTTGTAGAGCGTGTTTCAAGATCTGTCTTGTGTTGCAGTCTCGTGCAACATGATTGACAACTTTCTAGTTGCTTTTCTAGTGCTTTTTAAATACTGCTCAGGGAGTATAATCTTAGATGTGCTAAGATATTAATTTAATATCTCAGGACTCAGTAAAATACGCCATTTAATGAGCAAGATTTTTATATGATCAATGTAAGAAAATAGCTTGATTTTTCAGATGACTAATTTGCTGTATTTGCCCAAAAAAAGCCATTACATTTCATCAATTTTACTTGAACCACGAACGGTATTTGAATTAATAAAAAAAAAGGATATCAGTATCACAATATGAAATGATGAATATGATTATAGAGTATTATGTCTATAGTGCTCACTATACAATAATTGTAATTGTTGTGATATTTTAAAACAAATACCATAATGTCCTTATAAAACAAGGTGTGGTTCATTGAGCTTAAGAAACACTTTTCAAATGATCTGCATGTGATCAAGCACCTTAATTCTTTCTTTATTATATTGAGATAGAACACATACCTTCTTACACCAAGTTATAATGAAGCTTTTATGCTCATAAAATCTAACATACACTTAACAAAAATATAAACGCAACGCTTTTGTTTTTGCTCCCATTTTTCATGAGATGAACTCAAAGATCTAAAACATTTTCTACATACACAAAATAACCATTTCTCTCAAATATTGTTCACAAATCTGAAAAAATCAAGTGGCCCATGGTGGTGGTGGGGTTATGGTATGGGCAGGCGTATGATATGGACGATGAACACAGGCCACTCGATTCACAACATTACCCTAACCCTAACCCTAATCCTAATCCTCACACCAGATACTGACTGGTTTTCTGACCCCCCCAGACCCCCCCCAATAAAGCAAAAATGCATGTTTCAGAGTGGCCTTTTATTGTGGCCAGCCTAAGGCACACCTGTGCAATAATCATGCTGTCTAATCAGCACCTTGATATGCCACACCTGTGAGGTGGGATGGATTATCTCGGCAAAGGAGAAGTGCTCACTATCACAGATTTTTTCAGATTTGTGAACAATATTTGAGAGAAATGGTTATTTTGTGTATGTAGAAAATGTTTTAGATCTTTGAGTTCATCTCATGAAAAATGGGAGCAAAAACAAAAGTGTTGCATTTATATTTTTGTTCGGTGTATATTGTGAAATTCCCATAACTGAATCCCACATAATATTGAATCTTACACAGTATATGTGTCAAAATATACATTTTTGCCTAGCTCTACATCTGCGTATATATAATATTGTATACGTGCCACTGTCAACTCTTTACAGATATAATGGCAGAGAGTAAATGGCAGAACAGCACAGTTAATAAGTGGTTTCCAGTGTGTGATGAATCAGGAGGAAGATCACAATCAGCTGCTTGGACACAGTATCTGCATTTATTAAGACAGAGCAAGGGAGGGTGAGATTAGGGGAGGTGGGGGAGGGTATGGGTAAGATAGGCAGCTAGTGATTTTCTCTTCAGTGTCTGACCTGAGGAAGTGTAAGATCCCCAAGCAGCGCCGTCAGCATCCCCTCACCCACGCAGCTCAATCAAATCAATAAAAAGTAGACAGCCAGTGTGCTGAACTAGAAGATGGCCATCAAGCTGCTCCTAAACCACCCAGCGTCTCCTCTTCACTCCTCTTTGTTTCCACTCTGGCAGCTCCTCCGCTTCTTCTTCTTCTTCTGGCCTCAAACTGAAAAAAGAGACACCAGGTGGCACAATGGAGCAGAGCTGGGGAGTTAATTGAACTGTGAAACTTAATATGCAGCACTTGTCGTTGGTTTCAACTGGATTTTAAGAAGCTGATAATGTTGCACATTAATATTGCTAATAGGTCATCAGCACTTTACTCTTTTCAGGGACCCAAAGAATAACAAAAAGAAAGAGTATTTAGTGTTTTCCATTAAAAAAAAAAGTGCCGAAGAGGGGGGTCTAACGATAGCAAAAAGGACAAGAAAACGTTTATTTAAACTTTTACTGAAACACAATAGAAGACGCTTTCCCAAAAATCATTATGATGTTGTCGTTTTTGAACCAACATTCAAAAATCATGTTTAATTTGCAACGATATTACATTGAGAACATGACAAATCTTTACATTTCAGAAGTTAAAACACCACGTTTCGCATTTTTTATTTATTGGATGCATTGATTATTATTGTATCTTTTTATTTTTATTGAAAAAAACTATTCGTATGCATTTAACGCTTGATGATTATGTGTTAACTGCTTAGGCTACAAATGAGAAAACCGAGAATAGTGAATCATTTCCAGCCAATGTTCCAAACATCAACAGTATTTCATCTACAATATGCTGATCATTAACTTATACTTTTTTTGCCTGATAAATGGCTTAAATAACTAATGGATTATCACATAATGTCAAAATTGTTGTTGAATAAGCCTCTGTCAGGTATCTAATCAATAAATCAACTAATCATCTCAGCTTCACTTATACGAAATAACCCCCTTAATTATAGAACAGAAAAAGAACATTTGCACATTCCTTTGGTCTCCGTAGTATTCCTACAGTATTACATGTAGCCTGTGATGCTAAATTATTGGTTACCGAGCCATGAATTCATGCATTTTGTATGTGATACTACATGGTGATATTTGTGTGTGTGTGAAAAGGGAAGAGGATGTGGGATAAACGTATTGTCCCACCGGCTGAAACCACAAGCTGGTTTCTTTTATCAGGTGACCGCAGGACGTCCGGCTGTGTCGGTTAATAAGCAGCGGTCTCTCTGCCCCAGTCCTCATTCTCAGTCCACACACCTTTCCAACATCCCCACACACACACACACACACACACACACACACACACACACAGACACAGACACACACACACACACACACTCTCTCCTCCCCAAGGAGATTCACCGACTGTTCCCATGGCATCCATTCACTTTGCTCCCCAGTGATAGTGTGTGTACCGCATTACGTCTGTGCGCTGCCAGCCTCACACACTGAGATAATGTGTATCTCTTCATATTCACAGGCCAACCCTCCCCCCATCATCGTCAACGCAGACTCACTAGATGCAGGCCCTTATGTAAGTATCTGTTCTCTCTCTCTGTACAGTATATATCTGGCTCATTCACACTCCCTCTGTGTCGGCGCATGAGTGTGTGTGTGTGTGTGTGTGTATTTGTATGTGAAAAGCCATCCTCCTGCTAGCAACATGCTGTTTGCCATGTGGACTGTCATCCATTATCCTATTGACCCCGCCTGTTTGTGGTGAATGTGCACTCTGCAGCTGCACATGTACATGTAGTATCACACTGCATGTGCATTTTAGGAAATAAAGCCACATTTGAATGCAGCATATCAGGAATTGAAACGTGCTATTTTTAGTAAGTGATATAATCTAGTGAATGTATCTTCAGTATATTTTGATCACAACCCTATTCTCCAGGGATTATAGTGTGAAGGATTTAGCTGAAACATTTGCATGCTTCTCTTTTTTTGTTAATCTATTTTTAAAATATGCCGTAATTCAGTCTCACGTAACTAACCATAGTGCTTTTTGTTTTGACAGGTAAATGGCAGTGATGGGATGTACAAATACGAAGAGATCATTTTAGAGCGGGTGAGTTTTACCAGTTGCTTTTTACATTTCGTTCCACAATACACACTCTTCTCTATAATGTATTTCCTGCATGATGTATGGATATCTCCCCACTAGGTGGTAGTAAGAACCTCAGTCATCAAATATTGGGCTTAAAGAACATGAAAACCATAGAAAACTCTTAATGACTGTACATGTATGAGAATCGTATGTGATATTATGTGTTAGTGAACTAATGGCTGTTACATCAGTGCAGTTATAACGCCTCATGTGAGTATGAGCACAGAATAATGGCAGTGAGGCATAGCTTTTCACATAATCCTGAGGCACATGTCATAAGTAGACGCCAGAAATGTAAAGTGCTCTCCTGTTCAATTGTTCAGGAGGCATCGCTGCACTTGTCAGCGGCGGTTCAGCTTGTAGTGGCAGAGCTATATGTTTCCACTCTCATTACTCAACCCACATATAGATGCACCTCCGATCCCACGATAGATGCACGCTGTCTCTCTGCCCCTTCCTCTCTAAGTGGCATTTCTGCATGCGGCGGGCTTAAATAAGCTATGCAAAGTCACACTTTAAAAGGTCTGTGGGTGTGTAACATTGGGTGGTAAGGCCCAGTGTGCTCTTCCCGAGCAGCACACTGGGAGGCCTCAGCTTCCTTCTGTCCTAATTTGTTGGGATCGTTGCTCATTAATTATAGAAAAAAAGAAAGTGAAGTCTTTTCTCAGCTGTCTTGTTTGCTGCCTGTCTCTGTGGCCAGGGCTGTCAGAAGCAGCAGTGCGCCCGGACCCACTGGATCCAAATGGGTCCTCTGTCATTTCAGGGTCAGGGAAGACAGGGAGGCTGTGGTTTCTGCCTCCTGCAGTGAGTGAGACGCTCTGTATCACGCTTCTCAGCTCATCTTTACGTGACATCATAAATCCACTTTTCTGTGGACACAGGGCATTCGTAACACTGATGCCTCTCTGTGGGTTGACAGAGTAAGCGTGACATTTTGAATGAAGGGTCGTGTTCCTCGGAGATACTAATACACTTAAGAGCCACATTGCACTGACCCTGAGCCCGCATTGAGTCCATCACTTACATCTAAGTGTATGTGTGTTTGTCATTTATGGTACCATACTGAAAATGCCAATCATAACCTGTGTGCAGGGGAACTCTGGCCTGGGCTTCAGCATTGCTGGAGGAATAGACAATCCCCACATTCCTGATGATCCGGGGATCTTCATCACTAAGATTATCCCTGGAGGAGCAGCTGCTATGGATGGAAGGCTGGGGTAAGTTCCCTTCCTCCTTTCCTCCCTTCCTCCACCTCACCTCCTTTCCTTGTTTTCAAGCTCCTCTGCAGCAGAGCTGTGCGGGGAGGAAGACTTTCTGCAGCCCTCTGCCCCCAGGCTCTTTGTGTTTCCTCAAAGTTATCATTCACAAACTGAAGCCTGAAACATGCAAAAATAATGATATGGAGTGCTTTTTTATGTGCGTTGGAGGTTTCTGATTACATTGGCCATACTAGGGTCCCTCCTGTCTTCTGTTGACTGACAGGGTGGGTGTGTGGGATTCATATTAAAAGGTTTCCCTCCACAGGGTGAATGACTGCGTGCTGCGTGTGAACGACGTGGACGTGTCCGAGGTGGTTCACAGTCGGGCAGTGGAGGCCTTGAAGGAGGCGGGGCCAGTGGTGAGGCTGCTGGTCCGACGGAGGCAGGCTCCACCCGAAACGATCCTGGAGGTCAACCTGCTGAAAGGGCCCAAAGGTCGGGTTTCACATCGCACTACACACACTACAATAGAAATAGAGATTCAATCTGGAAACAAAGGAATATATAAAAAATGTGTTAAATCAGAGGTTTTTCATGTATTGAGTTTCTGATTGTGTTTGGGAGGTGTGTGGGTTGAGCGTTGGCGTTCGGATCAGGGGGTCACAGGTTCAAACCCCACTGCAGTCAGCATGTCGTTGTGTCCCTGGGCAAAACACTTCACCCCAAATTGCTCCTGACGGGATTGCCCACAGTATTGAGTATGTAAGTCGCTTTGGATAAAAGCGTCTAACAAGTGACATGTAATGTTTATTACTCAAAAGGGCTTGGATTCAGCATCGCTGGAGGGATTGGAAACCAACATATCCCGGGAGACAACAGCATCTATATTACCAAGATCATAGAAGGAGGAGCTGCCCAAAAAGATGGACGACTGCAGACTGGAGACCGCCTGCTAGCTGTAAGAGCCTTCCTCTGACACGGACACATACTGAGGGTTCAAATCTCAATCTGCCCATTTTAGATACTCATGTAGTTCAGTGCGACTTAGAAAGGAAAGCAGCTATTGTTGCTAGTAGTGATAACAAACATTTATTGCTTTAGCCGGGCATGTTTGATGACTGAATGTCTATGGGACATAAGAACTTTACATTAACTAGTACAAACCACATGAGCTTTTATGATTTTGTGCATAATCAATAATCTACCATTTGGGCAATAAGGTGGGACAGTAAAGGGCAATTAGCTGGAAAGGGTAATAAAACGACTATCACTTTCATATTAAGATGACAAATTAAACATCCAATGGTCAGTTAACACATGCTGCACTGTGAGTAGTTTACAAAGGGCACATCACTTTTTTGTCGTTGAATATTTAACTTAAAAACGGATGTAATATATGAAGTGTTAAAAAAATACTTTTGACTGACAGTATGTTTGCAGAGAATTGGATCTGAAAAGAGAAACTGGTGAAATTCAGCACATCTTAAGAACCCCTACTTACTGCTTTGACCTCTGTTAGCGCCGCGCGGCACACCAACCTTCCTCTCTGCTGTTTGAATGTACCGAAATCTCACAATACCTCACAGCTATGATTCATTATTGTGTTGGCTGGTGTGATGGCTGCTGTGATGCGTGATGTTGTCACACTAAAGCAAAGACACGAGGTGTTCAAGTGTTGATACAAGGAATTTTTTTTCACCCCTCTTCTCTTTTCTTGACAAACTCAGGTGAACAACATTGTGCTACAAGACGTGCGTCATGAGGAGGCCGTGGCTGCGCTGAAGAACACCTCCGACATGGTTTACCTCAAGGTGGCTAAGCCGGGACCTGTGCACCTCAACGACATGTACGCCCCCCCAGACTACTCAAGCAGTACGTATCTACCTCTTCCTGTTGCTCCAGTCAGGATGCAGAGTTAACACAGTCCAAATGCAAAAACTGTATTTTATAAGCAGCCAGCTCCAAAACTAGAACAGGTTTATTTATATAAAGCCTTTGATTGAAAGTAAAGGGTGATTTCTAAGTCAAGGTACAGTAGGAGCGTTTTGCACTAGGAAATCTTTTTTATCTTTATCGGAGATGTTGAATTTTAGAGTTGGATCACTGTTCTCTCCCCAATACTGCTATGCCCAGACACCCACATAGTGACACACACACACACACACACAATCCTACCCACAGCAACAACGAGCGCAGCTCTCTGCCTCCCACTGAGTGAGGATAGTTTCTCACATCCCACCTGCTCATGAGAGCCCACGATCTTGAGCTGCAGCTTCTCAAATGTTCTCAGTACAGCGATTTAGTATAAGAGCGGGCTATTGAATGCTTTTTGTATGTTCTGAATGTTTGCAGGGTTTAAGCCAACCTCTTATGCAGACTTAACCCCGCTCTGACCGTATAACCCGTGGTCAGCTGATCTGGATTTGAAGCCCTTGTTGTTAACATGCTCAGCTGCCTCCATCCAAAACGTAGATTCAGGGGAAAAGAGTGTTTTTATGCTTGTGATCTGTCTTTGTGTGCATGCCGAAAGACTACACTTTTTTTTTAGAAAAGAGGCTAAGGAGATTTAAAACAACATCAAGTCTAGATTACTGAATAAGCTCTGCTGCGGGAATAAAAGGCCATTTCCTAAACGTCATTTTGGTTCTTTAAAGGGAAATTCTGGCTTTGTACAAGCTGGGTCCTATTTTTGTAGTTTTGGCCACGATTCCTCTTGCTAATAATAATCATTGTTCCAACCAACTCAATTGTGAAGATTTGGAAACAAACACACCCACAGATTGGGCAAACTTATTTGGAAGAGAAACTCAAGGCAAGTGTTAAAATGATCGTTCAAACTGTTTGATCATGTACAGTAGAGCTTACAGAGAGACTTTGACCTTTAATCTGCTGTAACTGCCATAGTTGTGTGCAAACTATTTTCTTGTGCACTATCAATAAATGCTGATAAAGGCCTCAGGACAGATGTATGTATGTGACTTTTTATAAAGCTATATCCAACATCAATAATAGGATATTTTGGCTCAATTGTTGTCAATCAATCAGATCAGAAAACATAAATCAAGATCCCACAGGCGTCCAAGAATTGAATGAAGCTAAGCAAGTAGTAATCTCAGGGAGAGGAGGGGAGTATTTTTCAAAGCTTTGTCAGGGGGGAGGCCCACAGTCTCATACTTTGAAAAACCCTTGTTATGAAATCTTGCTTTACAGTTGCTCAGTGCTCGGTGTTGCGTGTGTTGTACTCACTCTGTCTTTCTCTCTACTGGCATGGCCCTCCCTCCAGCCTTCCCCACCATGGTAGACAACCACGTCGGCCACAACTACATGGGGGCCATGGAGCCCAAGCCAGTGTACCCGCCGCCCCAGGTCACCCCGTCCAGGTACTCGCCTGTTCCCCGCCACATGCTGGGGGAGGAAGACTTCACAAGGTATGTTACAGACCGGTTCCTCCATGAATGACTCTCCTCTCTTATGTTACCCTCACACAGGCTCCATGAGTGTCCATATGAACGGTTGTAATGCATAGAATTGCATTGGTGGTGGATATCAACTCAATGCCATTATGCGGTTGTAGTCAGTAGTGAAAATCATTTCTGTGGAACTGAATTGCACAACACTACATTACATATATATATTATTTGTAGGTTTGCATGGGTTTCTCTTTTCCTCCGTTTTGTTGCTTTTTATAGAGGTGTTGTGTAAGGTGATGTGGATAATTTTGAACAATACATGAACGTACAGCAATTTAAATCGCTCTTGTGAAGTGTTTCATGGACAAAATATGTTTTAGCTTATAAGGGTCCTGGTGGTGCATACTGTATTTTAGCTGTGACAGTGTGTGGTGGCTGTGTGCTGACCAAATACTTTGCAGAGAGGCTTCTTGTCACTTCTTGTACTTGTTATGACTGTGTTTTAACCTTTGACCTCCTATCCAAGTACTGGATCAGAAGTAGCATTCATAGAGGCTTGATTGGAGTGCCCCACAAGGCCTTGAGTCATCTTAACACACAGCTCGGGGCAGGGGGCTGTATTCCCCCCGGTGTGTGCGTGACTGCATGCAGGCGTTTATGCGTGTCTGCGTGTTGTGGAGTGAATGTGTTACCCGATGAGTGTCCGTTACGTGGCCCTGTAATGTCCTTGTACAAGCTGTCTACATGACTTGTATGTGCATTTGTCGCTTGTTTGTTGGTATGTGTGCTTTGTATGTGTCCTACACTTGTTCCGTTCACTGTGATTCCTGTACCCCACAGCAGGGCTGAACCTATTTACAGTGTCATCCACAAACCTGGGGACATCAAGGTGCCCCAGGCCCTCTACAGAGGCTTCTGTCCTTCCCCTGCTCCCTTGTGCCAAGGTCCACTCCCCTTCTCTGGCAGGTACTAACCTAGTCCATCACGCCTTGCTTAGCTAACCCTCCTCTGTATAGCTTAGCAACTGGATCTGGCAACAGACCGGAGTAGGGCCAGACAGGGACTACTGCCTTACTTTGTGTACAAACTACACAAGAAGGAGGAGGAGAAAGATGGCAATGGACTTCTTTTAGCTTTCTGTTTGTGTGTTTGCATGTACATGTCTCCTCACCTTATGTCTACCTAACTGCTTTGTATGTTGTCACTTTTAGTATGTTGCCGCTTTTTATGTTTCCAATGAAAAACAAAATACTACAAAAGCTAATTTTCGTTTTATAAAAATTAGCTTATTATTTCTCACCCTTTGTGTGTTTGTTTTTTTGCTCTACTTTTCACAATTTCAAAGGTGTAGCCCCACAGTCATTATTTGTCCATACATTTAGCTATTAATCTGCTCACATTTATGATTCTAAAGCATTACGGCCCTGTTTAAAGCAGTTTAAAATGGAGCTGTACCTGCTCCTCACAAACACATCTCCACAGGAGTGCAGCTGAAAGGGCTTCACGCTCCCACAAGCTGCTCGATTCCATCTGTCAGGAGGCTTCGACAAAACCAAGCCTCCATCTCGGGCCAAGCTACTTTCATGAGGACAATAATATACGTGATACTTATGGCAATGTGTTTGGAATAACCAAATGTGCAAAAAGCCTCGCTTTAGTTTCATTTATTTGTTTTCCTTTGTATTCACCGTCTTTCCTACCCTGCTTCACCTCATGGACGAATGCTCTGGTGTTTCAGTGTGTGAACCATTGCTTTCTATGTTATGTGTTTGTGTTGAATGTAGCTTATATTGTGTGCCATACAGTAAATGCCATGCATATCGCGCGTGTGTGTGTGTGTGTGTGTGTGTGAGTGAATGTGAAAGAGAGATGTTGGTGTGGTTGTAGCTCAAGTCAGGTTGTTGTTCTGCATAAGAAAGGGCAGTACAGGAGGATGAGAGGGCTGACCGGGGCCACCCAGCATAAATATTCTTCTTTGCAGCGTTGGAATGTTTTGCCTGCTGCTCTATGAATGTAAATATAAACACAGAGCCGTGCTGTTACCATAAATGTAATGGGGGAGTAAGAGCCTGATCCGGTGCGAGCCAGCGGACCAGTAGCAGCAGACTGTCCTGCAGCTGTCATGATTCATCTGCACACTGGGAAAACCAGGCCATGCACTCAGGTCTTACCCGTCTCATCACCAGCGCTGCCAGCGCCGATCACACACACATACTGTGTACACCGAGACATTTGCTCACGATGTGCTGAGTGACACATGCGAGCCCACACGCAGATACACACAATCTGAGTAGGGTATTCTGATCCGACTTTTTTAGTCTGGATCAATACCTGTGTGTCTTGTATTGCTCAAGACCTGGCCGATCACAGTGTTTAATTCATAAGCAGAATGCTTCACTGTGTAAATAACTGAAATACTTGATATGTATCACGAAATCAGGCTTGGCTTTTTGACATTGCTTTCCTATCTTTGTAAAACAAAGTTGACACATAATTACATGGATTTAAATGTACTTCCTATATATATTATTAAAAATGATAAATGGAACACAAGCAACTTGGTAAACAATCTCAAAATAAAAAAATTAACAAGAATTGTTATTCGAATGTAAACCTTAAAAATATAGCAAGCAACGAGTCAATTTAATTCCAGTAAATAAAATATAAACTGAATCAAATCAAAATCAAATTAACACCTGATCCATCTATTTTAATATCGGTATCGCCGCATCCTTAGCTTTAATTGAACCCACAATTATGACACTGACACATACATGCTGGTATTCTTCCTGCAATGAGAGCGGCTCACATACTGTGGCCATGTATTCACCTGTTTGTCTTAGTGGGTTTGTGTCTTATGTCCGCTGCATAATCAGAAAAAAGTGTCCCGAAGAACATCATGGCTAGCAATCAGCTGAATCACAATCAAATCAGACAGACAAATAGCAGACCCCTCCCTCCCGCCCCTGCAGCTTCCCCATTGGCTCCAGCCAGTAGGGGTTATTTTCGATGGAAGCTGTAGTAAGCACAGGCTTCCGCAGAAGTGGAGTAGGCTGGTTGTGAGGAATGAGTCAGAGCTTGTATCGGCCCTCTGCCCATCTGCACATCCCCCTCAGTGGTGTCATCGCAGACACATCCTCCCCCTTCTCCATCTGATATTGCCCCTTTCTTCTGGAGATAAGTCAGTACTGTACATCCTTGTCTCTGTCCACAGTGGACTTTATACGAGATAAAACCTCTGTTTAAATATGCATGCGTAGTGTAAACATACTGTGTGCCGTGGTGACAGTGTGCACCATCACAGCCTTGCGTACACACAACAATGCTTCTAAGGCTGCTTTGTTCATATACAGCTTACGTAAATGCAAAAGCCTGTGGACTGCAGCAGCAGGTGAGCTAATCAGTAACTATGTGTGTCTCATGCAAAAACACAAGACCTTTGACTGATCTGCACAAAAATTCAAGCATCAATAATTAGAAATGCTAAGAGCTTCTTAAAAGCTGCAAAAGCAAAAAAGGGGAGTTTGAAATAAAATAAATCACAGCGGGATTCAGCCGAGTACTCGTCTTAGGTGTTAATCATTCATCCCTCCAGTTTTATTCTTAGTCACAGTGAGAGGCGTGAAATATCTTTGACTGTCTATCACCTTAGCAGTGAATACATTTTTCCCTGTCAAAGGAGAAGAAAATAGTCGGCCATGACGAAGAGGCAGTGACCAAACATCTATGGGGGACATTTCAGCAGTGAAAAGGAAGACAGTGACAAAGCATTATTTAAATTTTAACAGTATACGCCTCTATACATAAGCTGATGTAATCCATTTGTGGGGGAAAGGGAGAGATAAAGTGCCGCGAGAGGTAGTGTCTGTCTGTGGAAAATGGCGTCCATCTGCAGTGTCCACCATTAATCAGCCAAGCAGAGCCAATTACTGTGCTGAGTCCCGGGCAGCGTGACCCGCTGAACCCCGCAGCCCAGATCTCCATTCACAGCTTCAGGATCTAGCTGCAACCGCCTCGGCCAAAACCCTGAAGTAGACAGGGAAAATATAGCGGTGGGAGGGGGAGTAGGTTTTGAATTAGAGAAAAGAGTCGCAGGAGAAATGGCTGGGCATAGAGAAAGGGCTTTTACCGCTCGGTAACTGTTTACATTCCTGGCAAGGATGAAAAGGCAAAGGGGAAAGGGAGGGGGAGGCAGGTCTTGTGATAGGGAGCGAGGACATTAAAACTGTAGGAATTCACTCCCATTTAGCGTGAGATTATCCAGGCGATTCACATCCTATGGACTGACTGTACACGCAGAAACACACACTCATGCATGCTGCACCAACTGTACAAATAAAGGAGGTTGCTGGCCTAACACTTTTAAAATATTCCACAGCAGTCTGCACAATATTTCCCATGAGGGAATCATGCTTCCAGCGTGCAGCCAGGTCACAGATTATGGGGGCGTCAAATCAAAGGCCAGAACATCGTGAAAGTCAGTTCATGTTTGTTTACACTCTGACAAATGAGCTGAGCGCTTCTGGGAATCTTTCTGCCTATTCTCCAGAGGGCCGAGGCTGACACACTGGAATGCTGGTGTACTGTATTGGAGGATTTGAGGAGGGGACATTCTAGTGTGAAAGGAGATGAAACTTGGATAACCTCCAGTTCGACACATCCAAAGCTCTTGTTGTTATGCAGTCTTGGTTATTCCAGATGTGTGGGAGGGGGGGTTTGGCCTCTTCTTGAAGAAAATTGAACAAAGATGATTTTTTATGGGAGTGTTAGGGTTAAGCGTTAGGTCTCGCCTTGCTGGTGATGATGGGGGGGGAGAGCGTTTGTGACAGCCCAAAGAGGAGCTGCTTCCCATCACAGCACACAAGATAGGGAACACGAGCCCCGAACACAAGAGCTTCTAAAACTGGAGCCCCTCTCTCAGTGGAGGGTCAGACAGGCAGAGGGGGCCAGGAGTAAGAGCGATGTGCCATAGCCACCATGTTCACAGTCAACATCTCATCCTCCATGTCGCTGGTGAGGAGCCTGCCCCAACGCACTGTTAGGAAATGCTCTTTCAGAAGCAAGCACCGTTTCGGGATCATAAGGTAACCATGGAGATCTGTGTGCCTCATCGAGACGGGATGAAAAGCTGTGGATGGGGAGCGTGGTTATTTTCAGACTTTTTTGAAGGAAAGGCAGTTGTTTTTTGCACATTTAAAGGCATTTGATACTTGACAGGTTTCTTTTTTCAGCTTTTCATCTCAGGTACAAAAAGATCTAAAAGGCTTTAGAAAAAGCAGGCATGTTTAAGATGTGTGAGTACAATCTGATAGAATATTTCCCTGACTCTTGCCTTGTGAAACGCTACATTTAGAAATCATGCAGACCAAGATAGATCTTATTCATTGGTTGTACAAAATACCATCTGCATCTTCAGGAAATGACAAATAAATACGCTTAAAGAGTCTGGTTAAACTTCCTGAAGTGGGCACAACTTTCCGATAATCTTAATTACTATTAGCGGGGTAATCAACGCTCTTTCCAGTCATTCAAGGGTCTGATTCAGAGAGTCTGGAATGCTGCCATCGATGGGAAAAAGGTCTTAACAGCGAATCAGAGCGCAGCCATTAGGGATCGAGTAGGAACTGTTCCTGCAGACCGCAGGCTGAGTACTGCGAGAGAAGACCACTAATGGGAACCATGCAGTGTTTTCTGTTGAGTGGAAACACTGTGCGACTTGGTGTGTGCATATACTTTTGTACGTACATGTATGTTTATGTGTGCATTTTGGTATATAAAGTATACGTGTGTGTGTATTTGTACTGTATGTGAGAGGCCAACGATGGGCTTCCTAGAGTGTGTGTGTTTGCTTTGGTGCGGAGTGTGTCCTCAGAGGGCTTTTGCTGCACCATAGCAACGGTTGGGCCTCTCTAGCATCTTTAAACTGAGGCAGTCTCCTGGAGGATCAGTGGCTAACGCAGAGGGGCCTGTTGAGCAGGAGGGGGCTCATTGTGTTTGGTACGTTATTATGAGTGACTGTTTAAAAGTGTACACATGTGTACAATTCCATGAGATCTACATGCAAAGCAGAAAGTTCTATACAGCCAGTGGGTAATGTGCATTTGGAGCCTAATGTGTTGCTGCTGGTTTTATTGCATCATTGTATCTATTGCAGAACTGTTATCAGTGTAATCCACATCATCTTATTAGTGATACGATTATTATATGACTATTTAATGGATTCATAATTGTGTGAGTGGTACTGCTACTGATTAATCATTTAAATGTTATATTGGAAGCACTGACTTCCAAATATACAGAGCATCACAGACAATAGAAGATGGCTGTTGTTTGGAACAGCCTCTGTGTATCTGTAATTTTATGCTTTTGCGGTTTCTGTTTTGGTCATACATATATATATTGTTGTATCTCCCACTGCTCATTTCTTCATTGCTCTGGGTGCTGCCCTTCACCCTGACCCTGTCCTTCTGTCTGGCAGGGAGCCGAGGAAGGTGTTGCTGCACAAAGGCTCCACAGGGCTAGGCTTCAACATCGTTGGCGGGGAGGACGGTGAAGGCATCTTTGTGTCCTTCATCCTGGCTGGAGGGCCGGCTGACCTGAGCGGCGAGCTGAGGAGGGGCGACCGGATTCTCTCGGTCAGTATCTCAACAGCAAGCTTTGTTTGTGCACATCAAAAACTGTTACATATTTTAAGTAGTTCAGCCAAATCCTGTTGCCTGAATAATGATATTAAATTAATTTGACCTAGTGTTTAGAAAGCCAGCAAACACCTGGCCTGCTGAAATGTTCTTGAGCAAAACATAACATTCATAGAAACTCAGAGGGAGCTTACCTGTGTTCTGCATGACATGAACATTTAGTGAATCATTGAATTGAAGTAACCAATAAATAACATCATGTGATCATAGCTCTTGACCTTTTCACACAGTGTTGCTCTAAACGTAGCTGCTTGTAGTCTGAAAATACATCGCCACACATCATTTAAAAAAACGAATCAATCTAGGCTTGAATACATTTCTTTAATGCAACATTTATTGTGTGTGATAGCGAAGGTTATCAAAACAAATAAAGCAATCTTATCTTTCAGTAAAATGTAAATGTATTTACATACTTTTAATCCTGTCACATTCAACAATATCACTCAAAATGACCACTGGCTGAAATTTCAAACATCTAGCTTGATAAGATCTGCTCCATCCAGTTAGACCTCTTCTCTTTTCAATCATCCATGAGCTCGACCAGTTTTCTCCACAGATCTCCACAATAACACAAGCGGCACACCTTTAGGATCTACACTGGATTGTTTTTGCTAAAAGATTTCTTGTCTGTTTGTTGTAGGTGAATGGAGTGAACCTAAGGAATGCCACACATGAGCAGGCGGCCGCAGCGCTGAAGAGAGCTGGACAGACTGTCACCATCATAGCTCAGTACAGGCCTGAAGGTGAGGGCCGTCTCATATCACACATGACTATCTATTTCACACAATCCCCAGTAAAACAAGACATGAGGATTTATACACTTCAGATGTTGTGTGGATTAAACAAAAACGTTATTATGTGTTAAATGTAGAGGTGCTAATAGGGAAATATTTGCTGTATCTTTGAAAAGAGCTGCGCTTGCTCTTACTCCTTGTTTCCAGTGTTTGTGTTTGCTAGGCTATCCTACTACAGATGGGTGCTTTGTTTACCAAAGAGTGATATAAATCTGCTCTCATACAGAAAGAAAGAAAAAAACATTACCCAAAATCTGTAACTATTGCTTTAAAGGAAAGGCATTTTTTCCAAGTTAGTTGTTTGTCAAATTAAAAGAAAAATAGTATCATATAAACACATTTAAAAAAACTAAAATTGGGAACAAAGTGTAGGGTAATTCAGTTATGATAAACATTTTTCTGCCTGAGTGAGGACTGCAGATGGAAATGAGCTATTAGCTATAATTTGGCATAATTAATATCTTCTCTTTTCTGAGATTAATGTATTTGTATGCATGGTCCTTTTTGAAATAAATACATAATATAATAAATATATATTTTGAGCATCAGGGATTGTGCAAGAAGCATTTTACATTCAACAGAGAACAAAATAATACATAGAAGCAACATTAGTCAATACTTTTGTAAGTTTCAAATGTTTTTTGGGTTTTTTGTTGCCTTCTTTTTTTATTTACCTTTACAAACACTGCCTATAGCGTTTACCTATGGCATTTACCAGGCGGTGAATTTCAGAGGAAAGAAGCTGTCAAGTTGCATTGTGGGAAATGTAGGATCCAGTGTTTTTGAAGCTTAAAACAATTCAAGATATATCGGCTTCTGCTGCTTTAAGAGAACCCATTTCTTTAATCTGTCATTCAAAAGTCCCCCGCCTTTAATAAAAAGCAGCATTCAAACCACAGTTATACCCCTTTAACGTTGCAAAGAAACACCTGATTTGGCTGTGGATACAGCGTGATCAAATGAGGGCAGCGCTCCTGAAAGCTGCAGGAAGTATTCAGGTTCAGGGGCGGCTCTAGTGTTAGCAGCAGGCTCAGAGTTGATCCACAGCAAGGCGGGCAAACGAGCCGCTGTTGTCCTTCTGTTCATACTCCCCGCTGCTGGTGGACACAACCCGGGACAGCGATGGAAAGCGGACACTAAGCGGGAAGTACGAGCTAACGACACCAAAGGACAGTACAATAGGAGTTCAAACTAAAAGCTGGAACACGGAAAAACTTCCCAGTAGTATCTGTCTACCAGCCTGTGTGAATGGGGGATGGGCTCGACTACAACAGCAGAGCAGAAGCCGCATGAAGTCCCCAATGACTGGATGAAGAAACCGGCGAAATAATAGTCACAGTTGCATTACATTAAGGTGGAAAGAGGGGGAAACACTACGGTGGATGTTGGATTACTGAAACAGGAACAAACCGAGTGAGGTAACGGGTCTATTTTGACTGCTACTGTACCGAGGAAGTGTTGCTCTTCCTATCTGTAACCTTTAGTTTTATTCCTGTTGTCAGTGTAACAAGTTACTCCCTTTATGTCTGCGTTGTGTTTTCAAAGTCTTGAAATGAATACCTTAGCTTGAAGGACATGTGATAGCCTCAGCCCAACTGTACCCAACACAACCACTTCTACAGCTGACATTACCTGGAATCAGCATTTGTCTGGTTTTATGACTTGCTTTTCGTTATTTCTCTATTTAATTTCGTATTTGAGGCTAGTTGTAGTCGCTTAATGTTGTGATTTACATGCAGCAGGATTTATTTGGGTACATTTAACAGTTGCTCTACAGTTCTTATTTAACCTAAAGCTTTAGGTGGGGACTCAGAGGTGTGTTCAAACAGGTGTTTGTCAGCTTGGTGGTGTTAAACTGTGACCTCACCTCTTCACTTTGACATTACATTTGTATGATTCACAACACTTTAAACTCTCTAACCACAAGTTCATTTTAATGCTGACTAAAGCAGAATGTGTGTGTTTGCTAGCCTCAGGGTTGTTTGTTACTTAAAGAGATTATTGTACACACTGGCACTATTCATTCTTTGTAATAGTACTAGAGATTTGCTGTACATTACAGATTTCTTTTGCTGCTGAATTCTTCTCAGTGTTTTTGTAATTCATTGCGTGTGTGTACTCGAGCATACTGGGTTATGCTATAACAACAATGGAAAGGATATTGTGAGCTTTAGATCTAAGGCTGAGTTCTCAGGTTGGACTATGACAGGAATGTGAAGAGGCATAAGTTGTGGCATGCTCAAACTCCATATAACTTTCTATTTCAATAAAACACAAGCCTTGAATGTCCAATAACTCTCCAAGGTCATAATGATTGAGGTGGAACAGGATCGGTGAAATGGCGCGGGGCTAAGTTAAAGAAAGACAAAGAGTGAGATAAAAACAGACGGAACGGCCTTGTAGCTTTTTCTTCTGCCTCAAAATACTGAATATAATGCTTCATTCTTGTCCATGTGAGTTCATGTTGTCCCGCATGCCAGACCAATCAGGCAGCATCTTGCGTGGTTAGTTGAAGGGGACCTTTGTTTTCCAAACCAAATCAAGCTTTCAGCTCTGCGCCCCCTTTGTAACCCAGTGAAGGACTCTTATCTGTTTGTGTACAATGCCTAACTACTCAAACTGGCAAATGATTGACTTCCTGCCACGCCACTGGTGACCTGAGATCTGTCGCCAGTATACCTGCTGCCGTCCTAAAGCGGTGTGTGACATGTCGTTCATTTGAGTTTGGAGCAGGAGGAACCCCCAGTGAGATGTACAAGGACAGTGAGGAAGTGGAGGGTGGATGCCGGTTTACGCAGGGCAAAATGCCTGGAAAGTATTCTCAGGGGCCGGGGCCCGGGCATCCACAGACCTCTGATGGTAGGCCAGCTCTGAAGACGACAAGAAGCCCCGGTGGAGCACACAGGCTGCAGCAGGACGCCGCGTTGACTCGAGTGGCTTCCTGGAGCATCACCAAGTCTTTAACTCGCATTCAGCTGGGAGGAATGGAAGTGAGGGGTGTGTATCCACACGCTGCCTTGCCCCACTATCAAGGAGCGTAATTACACACAAATCTGCATGTAGGAAATGAGAGGAGGGTTCTGGAGGAAATGCTGAACTCAAAAGGCCTCTCAGCTAGGGCTGCACAATTAGTCACATATTGATCATGATCATGAATTTGGCTTCAACAATTGATTGAACACGATTGGCTGCCATATTGTCTCTCAAAACGTGTGCTGTGACAACTTTCAGAAATTGTGTGGCTGCAGCTTTGAGTACAAGTTATATGCCATAGAGAGCAGGTGAGCAAAGAGGAAATGCACTGAATTCAAGTGCAGAAGAAAGTTATTTTGAGTCTTGCTTTTGATGCAATGATGTGTTAATTGGCAGAAATATAACCCAGCATGAAAGTGAAAGCAGTGCTCTTAATTAGATTTCGGTGAATGTTTGTAGTTAGGGTTCTATTTATATTTTTCTCATACCGGTCTGCATTTCAAACGTTTGTAGAAATAGCTAAGCCAGGGTCTACATGTTCATCGTGCTGAGGTTTATTATTGGGGAGGGCGTGTGTGTCTGCCCTGGCTGGACTACCCCTGAGAACATAACACACTCTCACATTACAAGTACATGCCTGCTGTGTTGCATAACTGGATCAAAAGAGAAGCGACCGTCCCCCAAAATAAAAAGCTGTACGCCTAATGAGGACGCGCAGTGGGAGTGAGAGATACAGAATAGTCCCAGTTTCTATTAGCTGTCGTTTCTTCCTGTGGGTCACCCCTAAAAATATAAGCTCGCTCTTGTGTATTAAGTGTTTTAATAGACAGAGCATTATCGTTTATAATATTGGTACCCAGCATTCAGCAGCGTGTATGTGGGTAGTAGGGTGGATGAATAATGAAGCTGGATTGATCACTGGATTAGTCATTAATGAATTAATAGACATTGCAATTATGACTCGGTCTGGAACCTGGTACAGATGATGAAGTTATTAGTGAAACCAGATCATTTAGACTTTATGTTTGCAGCTGCTGTAGATTACAGCCTTGTACTTTTTGATGCAATAAGAGGTTAGCATCTGAGGGCCAGGCATGTTTTATGATGTACAAATGGCGAGTTTTGAAGAATAAATGTGTCTTTTCAGTTTTGTTCGGCCATTTGTTAAGAAAATGTCAGGAACAGTGAGAGCTGTGATTTGGATTGATGGCATTTCCTTTTGTTGAACATATTCATTGCATAGCTAAAAATTCAGTTTTATTTGAATTCAGTTGAGACGGCGTCAATTGAAATTGCATGAAGCTTTTATTTGTTCACTTGGTAACTCACAGTTAATAGATGACAGGAAATAAAGGGAGGAGATGAAGAACGACCTGCACCAAGGTCCCAGGCTGGATGCAGCTTCACCTGTCAACTCTAATCATAGATCAATCTCTGATCATTGGTGTAGCCAGAAGTCAGTTCAATTTGCATCCATTGTGATCTAAACGTTTCCGTTACAGTTGTGACTTCTATTTGTGTTTTGTTGCTATCTAACATCTGATTTCCTCACAATCCATCACGGCTACTCCGTGTCCTCCATGTGTGAGGAACAAATAGTCGATTAGGTTTCAGTATAAGGTGTCTTCCTCCTCTGGCTCTGTTGTGATCCTCCTTCTCCAGTATCACTGTGCTTTCTTTATAATCGCTGGGAGTATCCTTACATTCCCTATAGTGTTTCATATCATGTGACTCTCAAAATGATTTGAAAATGAAAGCACCCTTATCAAGAAAGTAATGTAGTATGGTGTGTTTCCCTACAAACGCTGCTACTAATGATTTATATTGTATTGCCCATTTATGCTCTTGTTTATTGATCTATAAAGAAGTCCCATAGTCCAAGACGACGTCTTCAAATCTGTTTTTTTCCAAAGCTAAAATATTGTGAAGTGAAGAATTTCATTTTCAGATTTCAGAAGCTGGTAGCAGATCATTTTGACTTGTCTTCAAAAAATACTCAATAGTTAGTAGCCATTTTTGTAATAGTTGACCACTTATCGATCTCTTATTGTGGCTCAACTTCCTGCTCTGTTCCACAGATATTGTGATTTACTGTACACAGATGATGTGTACTGATATCATTAACAACCAGGTGTGGCAGCAGTTTATTGTTTAGCTTATGGTTCCCACCCTAACTCCCAACAGAGGCTTAAGACAGCACTCTAACGTCCACAGCGTAAGGTGAATCATCTGGATGTTGGGAACGCGACCACAGCATTCAGCTCCCCCACCTGTAGTGCTGTCTCTGCGGCCCAGCCCTTCAGGTTGGTGTAATCGTTAGGAGTGCTTCTAGTTACTCTTTGTCTTGTCCCTAAAACCCCTCCTCTCCCCAGCTGCCTGAGAGACAAGTGGACGATTCTGAATGGCTGTTTCTGCGTTTTGTTGTCCCTGTGTGAGGAGTGCTAGCTAGGATGTTGCTCCTGGTTACAGGCATTCAGGCGGTGTCTGGTTTCCTCACCTTGCAGCGTCACCCTGTTGTATTGTTAACCCTTCGAGCAGAGACCAGGGCGGAGGGCTGGCACCGGGCCCGGGGCACGATGTGTGTTTGCTTTGGATCCCCTTTAGGTATCGGCAGGGGGTGAGAGTTCAGCGACCTGAAGCTTGTCTTTGCACCTGCCCAGACATTTTCTTCCGGGAGCTTGGACTAACTTGGGCTGAATCCCCTTTTTGAAGGCATGGATGTTTGTTTTTCAAACTTCTTAGTGGCTTGTTGGACTGAATCTGGACTTTGGTCTCGTGTTGTTCAAGTTACAGGAAGTGTTGCCAGCTATGGATGATTAAGCTGTAAGGTAGGAATTGACCAGCATAAGATATGTGGAATAAATGTAGACGGTTTTCTCTTGCCCTGGTTTTATTTATAGGCTAATTATGATGAAGACATAGATATGTTGGGCTATTAGAGAAATAGCATATGTTATCATATGCCTTTTTAATGATGGGATTCTAGCTTATACTAGACAGCAACATGAATAATTAACACATCATTTTAACTGTGATTACTGTTCTTTTGTCAGCTTTGACAAATATACTTCTCAAAACATTCAGATGGACTTATCTTTATTGATCTATTTAAGTTGATTGCTCACTATACAGTTTTTTTTTGTGGTCCCAACACCTCCTTTGTGTGATCACATGAGCGCCCGGCCTACTTGTTTTTCTAGCTGCATCTGCCGGTCTGTTGATCTAGCGGTGCGCTGTGTGCTGAGGTGGCCTGGCTTGTTCCAGCTAGGCTCAGAGCGCTCAGCGGCTAATGAGAGCGTTGTTAATGAGGAGGTCTAGGTGGATTCATTCATCATCCCCCTGCTCCCGAGCAGCAACTGGATTTACGCACCTATGACAAATGGTCATGCATTTGAAATTGTTGGAGGCCTTTTCCTTTTTTTAACCACACTAAAGAGCCCATGTTGAACTTAATTAATCTGTGTAATTAATTACCTGACATGAGACAATACTGGATGTGTAAGGCAGATCTGTGATAAACCATCTGTTCCCGGGGTCATTAATCAGCCTAAGGATTCGCTGAACCTTTCCTCGATTCACTGCAGAGCAACTGAGACTCACAGGTCTAGAACAAGAGAGCACAATTTAGGTCTGAACACTGTAACTACCACCATAACCTTTAGTTTAGCTAGTTTAAAGTCCAAGGGGGTCGTCAAGGAATGAGATGTTTTATTATCGCAACAAAAACACTATCATTTTCAAAATGCTCACATGAGTGAAAAAAGCTGCAGCCAAATTAGTATGTATGTAATTTAAAATAGTTTTAATTGTTTGTTTTTTCTATCTGTCATATCTGTAATGCGATACAATATGTGTTTCATAGCCTGCCTTGGTGGTTAAAGGGCTAGTGACACGAATAACAATAGCTTTGGCCAGGATGATTTCTAAAATGACATTTCTTCCAATGCCTGGGTACGTAACGTATTTATGCTCCAGGAACTATTTTTGAAATGTTTTGTCCGTTTCTTCAACGCAGAGTACAGTCGCTTTGAGTCCAAGATCCACGACCTGAGGGAGCAGATGATGAACAGCAGCATGAGCTCAGGGTCAGGATCCCTGCGCACCAGTGAGAAACGCTCCCTCTATGTCAGGTAAGGCTGGAGCACACACACACACACACACACACGCACACACACACGCACACACACACACACACACACACAGTCATGTTTGCACTCACAACATAATCTTTTAAGATCTGTATTCAAAATAGTAACTGTTATGTAATCAACCTGTGCTCTGCGGGGGAGAACACAGCTGAAGAAGCACGTGTTTCAAAAAGCAGCCACTCTGTCAGGGATGAAACATGAAACTCCACACTGAGCTTTTTACAGGATAGGATTTTATTTAGGGCACGAAGTTGAAACAATTCATCACTATCATATAGTCGACGGACGGGCATCCCCTGTTGTTGCCTTCACGCCACAGGAAACTGACTCTCCTCTGTGTAATGGTGATTGACAGCGGGGGCTTGTGAAAGTGACTCGAGATATGACACTTTGGGCCAAACTGTATGGATGCTCGTTTAGGAATTAAACCAGGTGGCATCCTGCCAGGGTCAAGGTGAGAGCGCTGGGTGATGTAACGTCCATGTGCTCCACCGTATCTCCACTAAAGCGCTTCACTTAACCAAAACCTAATAGCTACATCACTAGATTGATTAGGTTTGGACCTCACTGGGATACATCAAAAGTGTATAGGTGTTATCTGGCTGGACGCCCACTACAGAGAGAGTAGTGTCTCCTATAGACTCCTGTGAGGCATGTAGAGCCTCGCCTGCTCCTGTGCGGTGACTCAGCTCTCAGTTATGTTGGGAAAGCTGTCTAGCTAGCCGGCTGATGCAGGAGCCGCCATGTCCTCGCAGCCCCGCCTCAGGAATGTGGAGGAGCTGAGCCTTTTTTGAAGTGTTTTTGAAAGGAAAAAAAACATGTGTCACATGTTCTCCCACTCTCTCTGTTAGTGTGTCACGGCGCTATGGAGTGGTTAAGACTATGAATTTGAATATGACTTATCAACCTGTGTTAGAAAGTGCACTTGTTTCCTTGTTAGGCGCTCCAGCTGATAATCTCCCACTGGATTGCGTCATGACAGTTTCAGTCACATTGTTCATTTACTGTCAGTTGCAGTTTCAGTTGGCAGCTTCGGAAAAATCTTTAACCGTTGGGAAATAATTTATTTGGTCCACTACTTCTCTGCCCGACTTATCCCCGGCAATATAACCTGTATATAAAAGCTTGTAGGTCAAGTCAAGTTAATACCAGTAGAGCCGGTATTAATACCTTTTTAAGAAATGAAATGTGGGTTTACCTGTCTGACGAGATTGTGACGCACTCTGGCAGACAATAAACAGTGGTTGTCTACAGTGGAAAGTATGTGGCAACAACAGGTAGACATTTCCAGAGGAAATTCATGAATGAATGAATACGTTTGTTTGTTTGTTTGTTTACAAAGACACTAGATTACTTTCAACAGGTTTATCATTGTCATCCATGTTCCACATACTGTTCATAATGGTCGGCTCACAAACCGGATGCTAACAAAGTGAAATAGAAATCTCTTATAGTGTCTCTAAGTGGTTGATTATAACTGGAAAACAACTGATTTTCAGATTACCATTTTAATGAAGTGATGAAATGCACAGCCTGCCAGTTAATGTTAATTTTGTAATATAGCTTTAAAAAAAAAAAAAAAAATTGAATTACTCTTCCCAATAAATGACTACTGTGTATGATTTAAATACAGTACAGTTCTGTAAAAATGAACTGTATTTTTTCCAACTATATTTAGAATAAAGCGTTAAACAGTAGTGCGCCGTTTACAGACCTTTTTTAGTATTGCAAATCGTCTACAAAACCAACCCTTGGCAGTGGTTTCAATGCATTTCCTCATTTTAAACAGAACTGTAAATTAACTCTCAATGATTTTTTACATGTGCTGTTGAATGAAAAGAACCAAATGAACACTGTAAGGGCAATTTATTTAAACAGCATTTGTATAGGAGTGAACCTTTCCCACGCTTTTTGATTTTATTTTTTTTACAGTTTTATCAATGCAACCCAGAAAACAATTAGTTTCCACTGTAAAAGAAAAAGAAACCTCAAATATAATGCATGAAATTCATCGCTGCCATTTTGTGCCATGTGTGGGTAATTCAATCTTAGTGAAGTGGAATCACAGCACACAAACTCAAGATAAAAGGAAGGAAGGAAGGAGTGTAACCAAAGCCTTGTGTTTTCTCAGAGCTTTGTTTGACTATGATCGAACGAGGGACAGCTGCCTGCCCAGCCAAGGCCTGAGCTTCTCTTACGGAGACATCCTGCACGTCATAAACGCCTCTGATGACGAGTGGTGGCAGGCGAGGCTCGTCACCCCGCATGGAGAGAGCGAGCAGATCGGGGTCATCCCCAGCAAGAAAAGGTACGCATCCTCTGCTAACGAAACACAAAGCTAATGTGGCTACTACCGTTCATCCCCAGCCTTTAACTTGTGTTCCCATTTAACAAACTGTTATCCATCATCGATAGCCCCGCCCACCTGTCACAAGGACAGATACAGGAAGTCGTTTCTTGCTGTTACACTATAAAAACTCAACTATTTTATTCTAACCTTTTATGCTCTTAACTTTTTATATATTACTATATTTTATTCAATATGCTCCTTAGATAACTTTTTATTATTTTCTCCTCATGGCATTGTGAAGCACCTTGAGGTGACGTTGTTTTTAAAGTGTGCTATATAAATGAAATGTATTATTAACTAAGAACTCACATCCATAGTTTCTCTTTTGATAACTGAACTAATAACTAGGGATGCTCCGATCGTTATCGGCCGATATTCACTCTTAGTCGTGTGATCGGGTTTCTCTATAAATGCCGATCAGATGACGCAAAATACATGAGGCTTTTCTCTGCGCTGCAAAAGAAGCTCGCCAAAATGGCTTCACCAGTCTGGCAGTTTTTTTAAGGTGCCCGAAAAAGACAATAAAATAGCAGTATGCAATGTGTGTGAAGCAGAAAGAGAGAGATCAGCTGCTGCTGACGGAGACACGCACCGGATCACAGCTCCGCCCGCTCTGACCGACCGGTGGGCAAAACACACACTAAGAGTTAGACCTAACACACTTAGCTATTTTATCTACCTCTGGAACTAGCTAAACTAGTTATTTATTCTTCACTGTCGGGTCACTCATTACTGGATCAGTGAGCTGTAAACTTAAATAATGTACTTCATTTGAATGTAATAGTTATGTTGTTTGTGGAAGCATATCATGTGTTAAAAAATGAATCTGAACTTTTTTATCCGTTACGATTTATAAACTGAAGTTTAAAATATAAAAATGAACTGAGTTTCTAAACATCAGCATATATTACCGGTCATAGTCCGGTAATTACCGGCTAACGGAAACTCTGCTACACAATTCACAATACAACACTTGGATGGAAGATCCCCATAGCCCCCACCCACCCTATGATCGGATCGGCGATCGGTATCGGCCGATTCTTTTTCCGTTGATCGGCGATAAGCCCCAAAAACCCTGATCGGAGCATCCCTACTAATAACTTTCATTCATTTCATTCACATTGTTCATTTAATTTAACATGCGATTCCTTGCAAAATGTATGTAAATAATATCCTACTTTTAAATGTGGCCCTTCCTTATGTTCATTTGAAACTTAGTCTACAGATTTTGTATCCGTCACTGTCGGCATCCTTTTTTATTTTCACCTCATGCTACGACGAAAACAAATGATTTTGTATTTCCTCCCCAGAGTTGAGAAGAAGGAGCGGGCCAGGTTAAAAACGGTCAAGTTCCACGCCAGGACAGGCATGATTGAGTCCAACAGGGTAAGTGTAGAGGGGCAGCTGCCCCCCCCCGCCCCGCCGCAGCGAGGCTCCAGAGCTGCTGCTGGGCTACCAGGGAGACGGCCTGCCTCCCCCTGTGTGTGGGAGAGAGACCAGCACCTGCTCTGTGGAGCGAGCACAAACAAAAGCTCGTATTACTGTGTAGATTACAGAAGCTCCGTGGAGAGGAGAGGAGAGCTCCCCGTAACCTCGGCGGCTCCTTGATATTAAGAAATGGGCTCCTCCTAAATGTCTATCAGAGGCGGACCTGTCAGATGTAATTTGCAGGAGTGTAAATCAGCTGTGCTGTTGTGTCTGTATCATCTATAATGCACACAGATCCAGCCTAATGTTTTAAGTGGGTAAACAGCAGCCTGTTTACTTCACATTGATATGCCATTCATTTCCACCCATTACCTGCTTCTCATATCTCATTATTTGATGTGTATTGTTTGTTTTGCATTTCATTTGTGTTTTTTGTTTTTTTTGCATGGGTGTCGAGTACCCTCAATGAAACCCATTCTGTTTTTGTTTTCACCCTCTCGTCGCCCCCCCTCCCTCCTCCCCCTCTCTCACCCACACATCGACAAGCAGCCAGTCAAAGTAAAGCGCAAAAAAAGCTTCAACCTGACACGCAAGTTCCCGTTTTACAAGAGCAAGGAGAATATTGTGCAGGAGTTGGTGGAGTCTGAACGTGAGTACCCCCGCTGTGTGATGGAGGGGGGGGGCGGGGTGGTGTTGTGGCTTTTTTTTTTTTTCTCGTCCTATCCCCTTCATGCTTCAGTTCTGTCTCTCAACTCTCATCTTTCCGCTCACCTCCAAGGGATGGTTTGTGTGACGGCACCACTCTCATCCCTTTTTCTCACTGTCCCGGAGAGATGCCCCACACACACATATCGAGCTGTGTGGGGGGAGGGGGGGGGTCTCTCCAGTGTGTCTGCATCTGTCTACGGGCTCCAGAGGAGTGTGTGCTGCCAGCCGGGTGTGTGTGCGTGGCTGCGTTAACACACAGGCCCTCACAACACGGCCATGCTGCTCCTTGTATAAGTCCTGATCAGTCCTGCAGTCAGTCACTGACCCACAACAAGAGGAATCTCATTAACTGGACAGAAGCTTTAACACTTAACAGGACAAAATCCCACTTTAATGGGATTGGGCCTGTGTCATTGAAAGGCCGTGGCTTACTATGAACAAAGTGGGGCTCAGGCGTAATGAGTACAGCGGCGTGTGTCAGCGGGCCTGGCGAGCAGCACTCCTCTTCCTCTCCGCCCCGACTCTCACTAACCTCTTCTTCTTCCTGTCTGCTCTCTTCTCTTGGTTTCTGCTCTCACCTGTCGGGACACCTAGGACTTCCCAGGGTTAAGCGATGACTTTTATGGATCAAAGAGTTTGAGTAAGTGTGTGGTTGTACTGTGTCAAGCAGCTGTCCCCTGAGCCCAGAGAAAAAAATGCTTTGTCACTGCAGACCCAGCTGGGAATGCTAAACCACACACACATCTAGCCGAGACACACACACACACACACACACACACACACACACACACACAAAAAGATGCATTCACAAGTGAGGCTGAGTGAGCGTTACACTTATTCTGGATGTCTCATGGGGACGTTATAATAATTTGTTAGCAGAGTTTTGTCAGATAAGGTCACACGGAGCTGAGTGTAACTGTCAGTGTTTCTCTCCGTGTTGGAAACACGTTTCCCCCCTCGCCCGCTCCCCCGAGTCAGCCTGCCTCCCTCCTGTGGACGGCCGAACGCCTCCATGTTTTCTTTGTCTTTTCCCTGAAATGAGATCCGGCACAGATCGAGCAATAGGAAGCGTTGGCCAGGGGATTGTTGGTCATTTGGGATACTGTCACAGGAAACACTTAATTTCCTATTGCTTGCACCTAAAACCACTTCCCTAATATTACGAGAGCATGGCTTCCGCACCAAGCAAGACTTCTACTTTCTTTATTCCCCCCCTTTTTAATGGCCTACATGTCGAGAAGCAAGGTGCTTTTTTTTCTTGTTGCATAATGCTGTTGAGTCTGGTGAGAAATTATTTTCACCGATAAGAGAATAAGTTGTAATTTCAATGTGGCTCTACTCTTTTAATCTAAAAAAAAAAAAATTATTAAATGATCTGCAACTCGCTCTCTTGTGCTTTTGCAGAATGCCTGACATCCAACACAAGTGACAGTGAAAGCAGTTCGAGTGAGTCACCTTCATTTCTCATGGTTTCTTTCACACTGCCCACACGGATGAATAACATTTTACCTGTGAAATGACAACTGCAAATTAATATTCCTCCCGGTGTCTTATCAGCCATGCCAGTTTGATTGTGTTCCTTTTTTTAAATGAGGTGTAAACTTTTTGATTGTTTTGTTTTTACAGAGGGACAGGAGGACACGATTCTCTCCTACGAGCCGGTCATTCGACAGGAAAGTGAGTCAATCCCTTCTCTACAGTTGTAACTAAAAGTACGAGTGATTGTTTCTTTATGCACCCTCACCTCCCTTATTCCTCTCCGTGCAGTCCACTACACGAGGCCTGTCATCATCCTGGGCCCGATGAAGGACAGAGTAAATGATGACCTCATCTCTGAGTTCCCCCACAAGTTTGGCTCCTGCGTACCTCGTGAGTCCACAGCAACAATCGTACCCAAACGGAACCACCGAGCGAAACAGTGGGCATGAAAATAACCTCGCTCTTCCTCCCTCCGCAGATACGACTCGTCCGAGGCGAGAGAACGAGATGGACGGACAGGACTACCACTTTGTGGGCTCGCGGGAGCAAATGGAGAAAGACATTCAGGATAATAAATTCATCGAGGCCGGCCAGTTCAACGAGAACCTGTACGGGACGAGCATACTCTCGGTCCGGACTGTGGCTGAGCGGGTGAGCACAGTGGCTTCATGGAGGGTCCGAGCTTGGAACTCATCTAGAGAATATTCACTATTTCCTCAAATCTGTGTGTTTTTTTTTTTTAAAACAAAAGAACCTAGATATCACAAATGATTGGCACTTAATCTACAAGTGAACGTGGTTTCATTATTTTTGTTGAAATGTTACAACAAATTCAAGTATTACTTTGTCAAATGTACTGTTACAAATGTTGAACGTTTCTGAGAAATTCAAAAGAAATCAATCCTAGAAGATTTTAACATTTTCCCCGATCCTCCCTTCCAGCAGGGGAAGCACTGCATCCTGGATGTGTCCGGGAACGCCATCAAACGACTGCAGCAAGCACAACTTTATCCGATCGCCATCTTTATTAAACCAAAATCCATTGAAGCCCTAATGTAAGTTTGAGGTGTGTGTGTGTGTGTGTGTGTGTGTGTGTGTGTGTGTGTGTGTGTGTGTGTGTGTGTGTGTGTGTCGCTTTGGATAAACTTGTCTGACATGTAGTGTGTGTGTCTCACCTCCGCTCTTCTCCTTTCAGGGAGATGAATAAGAGGCAGACGTACGAGCAGGCCAATAAAGTCTTTGACAAGGCGGTGAAGCTGGAGCAAGACTTTGGAGAGTTTTTCACAGGTCGGTCTCGCTGCCCCTCTGAGTCACACATTCAGATTTGGACAGATTTTTTGTTAAGATTGTTATCTGTAAATGATATTACATTTAAAATGTAAGACTCAAACATGTTCAGTTCAGCTGTCTGTCCATCACACAAGACGAGCCGTAGAAGAGTTAGTCAGATCTTTGGCACTTTAGCTAAAGAAATGACTGAAAAACAATTAGTGAGAAAGATTTCAGACTCATTGTCCGTCAAACAACTACTTGATTAATCAATCAACGTTTCAGATCCTCCAGGTTTTTAACATGTAAATGTATAATGTACTATATGAAACATCCAAATAAACTAAAAAAAACATACCGCTTATTTTTTGCATGAAAAACTACTTAAAAATAAATATATGTTTAACTTTCTTTCTGTCGAACAACAACCTGATTAATACTGTAGCTTAACGGTCCAGATCCTATTGATTATGTTTTTTATTAGTAAAGATAATCCTTTCCTATAAGATAAGTCGACATTTAATTTTTTTTATTCTGAGAGCCATGTTTGCCTGAAAAGCTACAAATGTTGTGTGGGTGTTTTTGTGTCTCCAGCTATCGTACAGGGTGACTCACTAGAGGAGATCTACAACAAAATCAAGCTAATCATCGAGGAGCAGTCTGGGCCCTACATCTGGATCCCCTCCTCAGAGAAGCTCTGAGCTCCCTGCCCCCCCCTCCTCTCTGCGGCGCTGCAGAGCTCCCCTCCTGCCTCCAAGAGACCCCNCTCCCCGCCCGACCGCCGCCGGCCCCCACCCGCCGCCGCCCCCACGGCACTCCGCACGACCCCCCCTCCTCACCTCCTTTTTGCAGATATGTTTCATATCAAGTTTTAGTGTCATCATTATGTTACTCTCTAAATGAAAAAGAAGTCTTATCACCATTACTGTGACTGTGCACACCCCTGCATGAGTTTCTCAACAAATCCATTCAAGACTGGAAATGCCATTCCAAAGGAATTATGTCAAATGAAAACAAAAGGGAAAAGGAATAAATCCTTTTGTGAACTGGGACTGACTGAAGATCAGAATGTTACAGGATTCGGGATTCAAAAAGAAAAGTTGCAGGGAACCAGAGACAAATCATACCGAGTCGGAACACTTTGTAAATGTTCATCAAATCACATTTAAAAAGACACGCAAGACGAGAAGCGAAGACCAATAAAGGTTTGTTTTTTCTTTTTCTAAAAAGACTGGATAAGATCGAGCCCTGCTGATGGTACTGTTCAAGGAGTCGTCTCTTGTTTATAATGACTGAGGAAATTAGTGGAGCCGACAAACTGGTGATCTATTTATCACGAAGCAGCTTGCTGATTGGTCGCCTGCCAGCCCTCTGCGCTGCGGCTGATAAAGACATCTCGCGAGGCAGATCAAGAGGAAGAAATGCGTTGTGAATCTCTACATTTATATTATGAAATCACAAGATAAATGATAAAATCCCACTGAGATTTTACTACATATTAAAAACTACACATTTTACACTTCACTAGAATTGTCAATTTGGAGGGCTGTTAGATTTCATTTTTCTTTTTTTCTCTTTCTTTCTTTGTGGGATTTTTTTGCTTGTGGTTTTTAGCTGCTCTGTGTAAAGGACGGGGGTAGAGAAGTGTAACTGGGCTCTCTGCAAAACACCAAACTGCCTTACATCGAATACAAATTCTGTTTTGTGACTACCTGTTGTCTGTGAGGGAGGCTGCACACAATTTAGGAAAAGAGAGGAAATACCCTCCTCTCTTCTCCATTTTCTTTGTGTCCTCCAACTGCCAGGAGGCCTGACTTGAGTGCAATAGTTAAAACAAAGTCTCACCTCTGCAATAGATGAAAGTCTCACCCGCGTGGGCGCCTTTTCTCCCCCGTATTTCAACCTTTCTTCCTATTTAATAAAATAATTTGGCCATTGGATTACAATTTGACCAGCCGGCGCCTCCTTTCTCATGTTGAGCAGCAGACCGCCCGATTACACTCTCTGCCTTCCGAGAGGATTCTCTTCTGATTGAATGGTCACATGGTACTGTCCTATCTGCCGCCATGACGGTGGCCTTAAAACGGGTAGAACAAGACAATAATTGTATTGGATGTCCTAACGATTAAAGAGTCAATATAACCTGTTTTTTGAATTGTCCCCCTGTCCCCTTACCAAAAAATAACACTAAAGTCGGGTTTGATTAAAAAGAAAAACCTACATGCTTTGTGTAGCCTATCTATACATGTATGAGTCCTTGTTGGCAGGTGCTGAACCTCTGTATCGAGCTCTTAGTGCGTCAGGAATCTCTCACGTACAGATACCATTTCCCCCCCCCGACTGAAAGGCCACGTTAGGGCGGAGGGTTCAGAGCTGTCGGGTGTGAAGTACTGATGGTGGTTTTGTCGCTAAGCTAAAGGCAACCTAACGGCGTAATCAGGCTGTATTTTGTGTCTTCTCTCTCTTCGTGAGCTTGTTGAAGGCCGTCGGCGTGGTAACCTTTGAGACGGCTGCATCGCCAGGATTGAAACTGCTCCCCCCTCCCATGCAGATGTGTGCATGTGAGCGAGTAAGTCTGAAGAAAAGTGGAACGCCCCCCGATCCTGTGAACTTTTTCCTCCTCAGCTTCTTGACGAGTGCAACAGAAGTTTTTTTTTTCTTCTTGTTTTTCGAGAGCCAGACCCAACAGGAAGTGGTAACCGAGACCTCTGGGTCCCCTGCTCTCTCCCACCCACAGAGCACCTGTACCTGCAGGCATTTTCTGAACAGGTGTGCCCCCCTGCCAGGCACCACTGCTAAACCAGCTGTCATTACCTGTGTCAAAACCAGAGTTCAGGGAATAACCGAAGGGAACAGAGCCATTTATAAACTGCTTGCAGACTGTTTCAAAGGGTGTGGTAGCTGTACAATGTAAATAAGCCCCCAGCAGATCCCCCTCACCTGTGCTTCATGCATGTGTGAATCAGACTGGGAATAAAACATGTTTTATAGACCACAAATGTCAGGTAAGTAAAGTTTGAGCTACTCTTGAGATATAATTTCCATACAAATGTGCTGTATTGTTGGTATTTCTCTTCAAATACCTATTGGAAAACTTAACTAGTCAGTTGGGAATTCAATTCCCTCGAGTAGGGCCTGTCTACATGTGATTTCTTGTGGAACGTGTCTGGGTGTATAGATTTAAAAAATATATATATTGTAAAATAATGAAAGAGATGCAGTCAGAAACCTACACAATATCACAGAAACCAGGAGCATTGATCAATACATCATTAGAAGTTTAGCATTGGTCCTCTCTGGTGTTTAGTTGAAATACAGCTGACTGTTAACAATGTGCGTGGTATTCATACCTCAGTCAGCCATGTCAAAGCCCAAAGAACTTGATTTCATTTGAACTCTTTCCATTGAGGATGTGGTATATAACGAACCTGAATGCCTCTGTGTGTGTATAATTGATGAGGGTCTTTGTTCTGATGAGAGAAATGATGACATATGCTTTTATTTTTTGGGTGGGGGGGGGTCAGGGTTCTTGTTTGTACTTTTGGGTGATGATGTTTATGTTATAGCACATCTGTGCAGTAAGTGCTTGCAAACATGAACCCTTTGATTGTACAGTAGTTTCCTTCCTGTCACTGCAGGTGGTACAGCCTATCAGGACACTCGGCCTCATGGTCTTCCTTGTCCTAGTCATGAGGGAACAGTCCTGCAACTTTTGTTTGGGTTTTATTTTGGGACTTGACAAGAGTTTATTTGTTTGAAAATAAAATATGTGACTCAGTTATGATATTGATCCGCTTGTTATTGCACTTTAAACCCCCCCCCCTCCGTGGATTTGAAAATAAGTGTAACAATTATTCACATTTGTTTTGTCTTTATTGACGGAAGACAGTAGAAAAAGGTAGGAAGCATGAGGGAACGAAAGACCCAGGCTGAAGACAAACTGGACTGAATGTGGTGTGTGTCAGAAGACCCCACAGTTACATAAACACTGAGGAAACTGATGAACATTTGAACAGAAACATTGATAACATTTAGCTGGAACGAGCTGCTGGAACTGATCAAGTTCAGACACAGTTAACACGGGGCTGACAGCAGGTCAGTTATTCCTCCATGATGAGGTTCTTCTTGGCTCGGTCCAGCCGGTCCAGGATTTCAGTGTAGAGTCCAGACATCTGTGGGTTCACCAGAAACAACCGTTGAGTGAGGTTTCTGCACTTTATAACCAGTAGGTGTGTAAATCACCACCGTGAGATATATTGGTTCTTAGGGAAACTACATGATATCTGCTGATGTTACAAAGTCTGCCACCATTTCAAACAAATCCAGGGGCCTGCCATCAATATAAAACAATATTAAATACTAATTTAACAACATTAATTACATTTATATCAACTAACAACTCAAACTAAACTTAAATATCAGTTCAACATTTTATTTCTGTCTCCTTCAGACATTTCACGTACCACATTGAGTGAAAATACTTTTTCTGAATTTCAAAATAAGGGCGTGTTTTGAGATCATGTGTATGAATGTTTTCTTTTAGGATCGGTGATCAAAGAACCGATGATTGATCCAGATAAATGGAACGCTGCCCCCCTACTAACATGCAGGACTATTCCTCCTCTATAATACTCCACAGCTACACCCACCCCCC